GAGGAGGCCACTGGGTGGGCTCAGGGGACCCCTCGACGGGCCCCGAGATCCTGGCAGCTCAATTTTTTCCAGCCCGGCATTTTTTATCTCAAGCTCGGGCCCCAGGACCTTCGCAGATCGATTTTGGCTGGAAAAGTTAGTGACGCAGAAATATGGGGTCTGGAGCTCCAGTCGTGTTTTTTTGCGATGTTGCAGTGTTTTGCAACGTCGGGTCTCGGGGGGGGGGAGCGCGGGGTCGATGCAAACGGGGGTCGATGCAAGCGGGGGTCGGTCAGAGCGCCGGAGCTGGCAGGATCCTGCAGGGCCAGGCCTTGGCCCTGCAGGATCCTGGGTCGCCAGGGTCGCATTGATCCGGGCCTATAGGTGGTGCACGATCCTGCAGGATCCTGCAGGATCCTGTCAGGCTTGACTGACCCGGGTTTGCAGTGACCGTGGCCAGCGAACCACCGAGGAAGTGTGGGGACGCGACCGGGCCCTGGAGTCGGCGGCGAGATCCGAGCCCCACCCTCGAAGATCAACGACCCAGGCAACTCGATGGGTGGCGGGGGTGGCGTTCGGAGTTCGTGGAACACGTTTTTGGCAAACCGAACCCCGTCCCCGCCCCCCCATCGATTCGGGAGAATCGATGGTTGGCTGGGATAGGGTTCGGATGTCGCCACCTCAGGGGGCCACTGAATGAGCTCAGGCGGCCCCAGCAGGGCCCAGTTGGCTCCAGCCAGTGAGCCTGTATCGCATTGCGTCCTCAACGGCATCAGTGAGGACGCCAGGTTCCAGGTTCCAGTGGGGAGTCAGGAGGCCCGGGGAGGCTTTTGGATGTGCTCAGGAGGCCCAGCAGGGCCGAGTTGGCTCTAGCCAGTGAGCCTGTATCGCATCGCGTCTTCAACGCCCTCTGTGCTGATCTGTTCCGTGGTCGTCTCGGTTCGCAGGTCGCGACGTGGAAGGCCATGTTCTTGGGCTCGCGGCCCAGGTGCGAGAAGAGCAGCCAGGTGGCCAGCAGGCGGGCTGGAGAGGGCAGGGTTGAAGAAGGCTCGCAAACGGGCTCAAAGAATTGGTAATCTAAGAGTTGGGGTCGCCAACCCCCCGACCGGTCCTGGCCAACCCTTCTGAGCCACGCAATGCGTGCTGGAATCGAGCGGGCACGGATCCTCCAAGGATCCGGCCAACCCCTTCCGGCCAACCGTGCCTCCGAGCTCCCGAGTTGTCTCAACGCGTGTTCGCGAGCCCCCGACCGAATCTGCCGCGTGGCTCTCGCGCTGTGGGCTGCTCTTGCTGTGGGCCGCAGGGCCCAGCGCGCCCACGCTGAGGCGCGCCCGCAGCCCCCGCGAGCCGACGCGGCGACGCGCGCCAGCGCCCGCGCCGGCGCCGGCGGCGACGCCGCCCAGACGACGACGCGGACGACGGCGACGGCGACAACGACAGACGTCCGACGTCGCGGTTTTGTTTCCACAACGTGGCTTCACTAATGGGCCAGCAAATCGCGTTGTGATGTGTCGTGTTGCGAGGAGGGCAGGCTTTCGATCCACAACTCATCTGTCCGGCGGCTATGAGGGACGAGTCGGGCACCCCCGGCACGCCGTCGGCGAGGCGCAGTTGCAGGAAGGCATCCCGAGGCTGGGAGATCTTCGAGAGTTTCCTCCTCCTCCTCCTCCGCCTCCTCTTCCTCCTCCTCCTCCTCCTCCTCCTCCTCCTCCTCTTCCTCCTCCTCCTCCTCCTCCTCCTCCTCCTCCTCCTCCTCCTCCTCCTCCTCCTCCTCCTCCTCCTCCTCCTCCCCCTCCTGTTCTGCTGGTTCTCGACGAGAGGAGTTCAGGGGACGACCACGGCGGGCCGGCCCGCGCGCTCCTCCGCGGCAGAGGACCGGCTAGACGACAGGTTCAAGAAGGCGAAGGATCGGAGGGGTCCGCTGGCTGCCCACCGCTGCGCCGGCATCTCGGCTGTAAGGCCGTCGTCGGCGTCGTCGGCGTCGGGGTCGGGGCCGATCCCCGCCGGGCCTATCCTGAGCCCGCGACGGCTCTGGTCTTTCGGAGGAGGGGGAGGAGCTGGGAGAGATGCGCCGTTCCCCAATCGCGCATTCATTGCCGATAGTCAGGCGATCGCAAACATGGATCAAGGGGGCGTGGATTCGCGTCGGGTCCCGTTTCCATGGGAAATCCCGGATTTCCGCCGCCGGACGAGGCGGCACCAGCGGCACCACCGAACAAGCCATGGATTGGTTGACCGCGCTCCAAATCCATGGATCGCTAATCCATGTTTGCGCGCCCTCAAGACGGGGAGCACGATGGTCCGCCCCGCCGAGAAACGTGCGCCTGCGCTGTCGGGGGCCTCTCGCCAAGCTATCGGCGATACGTAGATCGGAGATTGATAGACCTCCTACCCTGACACGTCGATTGGTGAATTGGCCGTTTTCGGTTCGCGAGAGGGCGTCGCGGCCGTCATTGTTGCGGGTCCAGGTCCGTCGGTTTCGGTCCCAGGTTGTTTTCACTAAGGGGAGATTTACTAAAGGGAGGTTTGTCCACCGCCGAGGGTAGGTGGGGGGAAGGCGTCTTAGAAGCACCCCTGCTTTTCAGAAGGCGCGGGCCTGATCTATAGGTGTAGGGCCGGCGCCTTCTGAGAAGCAGTCTCCTTCTCAGAAGCCTTCCCCCTCCCCCTACCCCCTTGTGCGCGCCGCCAAGACCTGGAGGATCGAGGTTTGATGCTTCTGGACGCTTCTGTTCTTGCTGGTCCCTGAGAGGCCTCGAGAGGCCCTTGAGGACCCCGGGATGTCCGCGGTGTCCAGTTCGACCCGATCGATCCGATGCGACCGGCTCGGTCGGTCGCTGTGCCACGGCCGCGCCGCTGCGCCCTCCTGGGAGGCCTGCGGTAGATTCGGTTTCGATTGGTTTCGGTGTAGTCGTAGTTTTGGCATGTTTTCACTACAGCGTCGTTTTTAATACATGGTCCGCGTGCGGATCATGTATTACAAATTCAGGAATTTAGTACTAAAGACAACGATATGAGTGCATGTATAAATGTATTCCTAAATCAATATTGTATTAAAATCCTACATATAAAAAAAACATGTATCAAAAAACTGCCCTGTACGGGGTGCTTGAGCCCCGACCCACCCTTTGCCCAGGGCCGACTTTGTATCCTCTGTCGGTATTTGTTTCACAGTCCTTGAGCACAGAAGCGGACCCCCAGGGGGGGCCAGGAGCCAAAAACGGCGGAAAAAACAAGTTTGATTTTGCGCAAGGCGTTGAATGCTTGGGTGGCTGGGGGGAGGAGAATCGAGGGATAAGGTTGTTGACGTTTTTGGTTTGGTTGGGTGGAGGCCTGGGGACCTCTGCGAGGACTTCTTGACCCCTTCCCCAGGCTAGCTCTCCCTCCCGACGACTCAATCATTGTTCTAGTCGGGGGGGGGGAGGGTTTAGGTTTTTGGACGCTTGGGGCTCTTTTTGGTCCTTCGAAAGAGGTCTCTGGAGGCCCATGGGGCCTTCCGTGAGGATCTCCGGGAGGGCCCTCCAGAGACGTGCGCTTTGCGCATGGGCCTCTCGACCCCTTTCTCGGGGCCAGCTCTTCATCTCGGTCTCGCTTTCTGACAGATCCCAGGGCCCAGCAGTTGCTTCCTCTTGGATCCGGGGATTGCAAAGAACAGGTGGCGATGCCTTGTTAATTGTTTTTAACGTCTGGGGGCTCGTCTTCGTAAGTACTACTCTTATTCCTCCCCGTCCTCCTCGTCCTCCTCATCCTCCTCGTTTTCCTCCTGCTCCAGCTCCTCTTCGTCGTCCTCGTCTAGGACCTCGTCCTCGTTTCTCCTTTTCATTCTCCTGCTCATCCTCCTTCTCCTGGCACCTCGGCGGCCGATTATCAAACCGTTTCTTTTCGGTTGCGCCATAAGTTGCGCCCTCGGCGGCTAAGAATAAAACCGTCTCCTACCGGTTGCGCCATAGGTTGCGCCCTCGGCGGCCGAGAAAAAGATTCGGTTGCGCCATAGGTTGCGCCCTCGGCGGCCGAGAGTAAGACCGTCTCCTTTCGATTGCGCCATAGTTTCGCCCTCAGCGGCCGAGAATAAGCCGTCTCCTATCGTTTGCGCCATAGGTTGCGCCCTCGGCGGCCGAGAATACCGTCTCCTATCGGTTGTGCCATAGGTTGCGCCCTCGGCGGCCGAGAATAAAACCGTCTCCTGTCGGTTGCGCCACAGGTTGCGCCCTCGATCGGCTGCCGAGAATCAAACCGTCTCCGATCGGTTGCGCCATAGGTGGCGCCCTCGGCGGCTGAACGTCAAACCGTCTCGTATCGGTTGCGGCATAAGTTGCGCCCTCGGCGGCCGAGACTCAAACCGTCTCCTTTCGGTTGCGCCATAGATTGTGTCATAGGTGGCGCCCTCGGCGGCTGAACATCAAACCGTCACCGTTCGGTTGGGGCAGAAGTTGCGCCTTCGATCGGCGGCCAAGAATAAAACCGTCTCGTATCGGTTGCGCCATAGGTTGCGCCTTCGGCGGCCGAGAATCAAACCGTCTCCCTTCGGTCGCGGCATAAGTTGCGCCCTCGACGGCCGAGAAGAAACCGTTCCCCATTGGTTGCGCCATAGGTGGTGCCCTCTGCGGCCGAGAAAAAAAATCGTCTCCTATCGGTTGTGCCGTAGTTCCGCCCTCGGTGGCCGAGAATAATACCGTCTCCTATCGGTTGTGCCATAGGTTGCGCCCTCGGCGGCCGAGAAATTAACCGTCGCGTAAGGGGTGCGACCAGTCTGTTCAGTTCAGTTCGTTCAGTTCAGTTCAGTTCAGCCAGTTTACCTCGCGAGAAACTAACCCGGGCTACGCCCGATCAAAAATGCAGCGTCGAAGGAGAGGGTCTAGCGGCCAAAAATATTGACAAACGTTGGGCGCAACTATTGGTCGGTCGCCAGAGGTCCCAGGGTCGCACCCGCGATGTCCATAAGAGGCCTCCGAGGAGAAACGCCCCGATCCTCGATCTCCGTACGATCGAAATAGGTACCGAAAGAATGGGGACGAAGACCAACAGCAGTGCTTGCTACTGAACAGAGCTCGCTGTCGGCGCCGCCGCGGACGTTGTCACTTTGACAGACAGCCGCCTGCCCAACAACGGCAGCTTTACAGCATTTGTTGTTGGGCATCGTTTCCCTTTTGTTGCGTCACCCGTTTCGGGCGTCCAAACGATCGAGGATCTAGCGTGTCGCCGGGGCCGCCCCAGCGACACGCCATCCAAAGGTTTCCGACCGCAAGCGCTGGTCAGGGCCCGACGCAGGCGGGCGGCCCGCGCCCCCTCTGGGAGAGGAGATGCCCGCGGCGCTGCGCCTGCCGGAGGTGCCCGACCGGCCCTTGCGGCAGTTGCTGCCGGGCGCCTCGGAGGCTTGCCTGGACCTGATCAGTAGGCTGCTGGACAAGGCCCTCCGGGGGTCTCAAGCAGTGGCGAAGCGTCCGAACGTGCCCGTAGGCCCACCAAGGAATGTTCTGAGAAGGAACTGTCTGTGGTGTAGACGAGACGTTCTCAGAACATTCTTGGCCGAGACCGTCGTGTCTCAAGGCTATGAGGAGGACATTGGTTTTGTCTTCAGAGCATTCGATTGTTTCAAGAACATGTCGTGGTAGGCCTATGAGAATGCTGGGGCGGTCGGTCCCTGCTCCCATGGATCAGGGGCCCAGATTCCCGACGTTCGAAGTTTTCGGGCTTTCTCGTCGGCTCTTGGGCGTTCTGCAGCCTCGGGATGCCTTCCTGCAGCTGCGACCCGCCGAGAGCATTCCAGGGGCGCCGGGATCGCCCCGAGCGAACAGCCGGAGGCCAGAGGAATGACTCAACCGCCAGGCTTGCCTCGACGATCGATCCCCTGGCCGGGGCCTGATCAGCAGGCTGCTGGGCAAGGCTTTCGGTCGGGGGATCTTCGGACGGGCCAGGATGAAGATAAGTCCGTTCCAGAGCGTTCCGGAACGCGTTCAGAGCGTTCCGGAAGTCTCCGCGAAGGCCGCGACGCCCAGACATCCTCCGGAGCCGACGGTTCTATAAGATTCTCTATGTTCCCTCACCCGATTTATCGTCGTTGTAGCTTCGTCTTACCCATGCCCCGACGTCAAGATTGTGCCATAATTTCGACCCCCAGAGGTCTCGACACATTCCCATGGACCGATTTCTCATCCTGAGTCGTTGTTTGACGGGCCTGAGGCCCGGTAAGGGCCCCCAGAGGCCGAAAGCAGAAAATATGTGGGGCGTCGTGATTTCTGTTCACGATTGAGGGGGTTTGGATACTGGGAGCGAGAATCTCGGGACCTCGCAAAGCGGGGGGGAGGCCACGGGGGAGGGTGAGTTCGGTCCGTTGGCGCATCAAACCGTAGAAAACTTTGCAAAACGAGGTCTCCAGCTTCCGCCGGAACCCGAGAGGTGTCGACAATCGGGGCGAGCGGGGGGCATCTTTTTTCGGAAATTCGATGCACCAGCGGATCGAACTCACCCGCCCCCCTCAGAGTTTGCCCCCCCTTTTCAAGGGTGGAAAAACCACCCCGACCCTGACAATTCGCGTTTACTACACAGCCCCGGGCGTTTACTAAACAGCCCTGCCCTGTTCGATTCTTTCCATGGGTGCGTTTACTAAACGGCTTCGCTTGTCGGGGTGCTTATTGTTGGGGTGGAATTTCTGCTCTCTACCTTTGGTGGACCCCGAGAATCTCAGGCCCCAGACCTCCGCAGCCGACGCTGAGGTGCTATCCAGCCCCCGCTCGCTGCCTCGGCTGCGGCCTCCAGTGGCCGCGCACGGGCGCGGGAGAGGTTACCGAGCAGCCAAGCCCTCGGGGGGGGAGAACCTGCTGCTTCGCTGGTGATGCTCCAACCCACTTTAGCCTTGACCACCAGGAAGAATTTCCAGCGCCCAAAAAGTGCCGAAACTCAAGGGTCTTCACGTGTCGGGCCCTGGGGGACACTCGCCCGACACTGTTTCGACACTGTTTCGAGACTCTTTTGACACTTTTCCGGGTGCTCGAAATTATTTCTGGGATATGGTCCTTCAGTACGACGGGAGCAACATGAGGCTTCGCATGAGGTTGGAGACTCTTTTTATAGGGTCCGGCGAAGACCTGGGTTAGCGGGCTTGCCCCCCCTCCCCCCCCCCACTTGAACCTAATCTTGCCGGTTGTGCAGGTCCGGGGTGGGAGGGCGCGGGCAGATGCCCACAGCGCGAAGGGTAAGTTATCGGCCAGCCCCCATCCTCCCCCCTCGGATAACCCGGGTTATCACCGATTCAAAAGAAAATTGTCTCTTGGTGCCAATGAATTCAAGTTGCGCATCTCCCGCTACAGGAGGAAGATTCAAAAGTAGTCCCAAAATATTATGGGGACGATTGTTTGACCGTTGGAGAGGCCTGACGGCCGGTGACGCCGACCCTAATCGAAGGGGCTTCCTGGGTTTTTTTTGGAAGCTTCTTGGGGACTCTTGGGGGCGCCCTGGAGCATCTGGGGGCTTTCTGAGAGCCTTTCGCGGCTCAGGGGGTCGAAATATCCGCTCCGGTCTGCTGTCTGGGCACTCTTTTGGAATGGTCTTGGGGGCCACCGCCAGGGTCGTTTTGGAGGCGTCTCGGGGTGCTTGGCGCCTTCATGAGTAAGTTTGCAACTCTCTTGGAGGGTTCTTGGGCCGTCTGGCGTCGATCTTGGGGGCCTCTTGGGCCGTTTATTGGAGTGTCGTGAAGCATAAGAGGCGAGAACGCCTAAATCATTCAAAACCCAATGGGAGATCAATCCATTTAGCTTTTAGCTCCTGGGGCTCTCTTGGGCTTGCTCTTGGCGCTTTCTTTGAGCTTCTGGGGAGACGCTTGGGCCGTTTTCGGACAGTCTTGAACGTCTTGGGGCGATCGTTCGTGGACGCGTTGCGCTTTTGTACCGTCATGGGGATGTATTGGGGCGCTCTTGGCTCGTCTTGGAGATTCTATTGGCCTTGCCACTTCCCGGCAGGAAAACGAATCTGGGTGGCGACCCCCCCAGGGACCCCCCCGGGACACCCCCAGGACCCCCCCAGGACCCCCCCCGGGACCCCCCTCGGGACCCCCCCCCACGCGCGGGGAAGGGATCAAAGGGAAGGGGCTTCCCCTCGATTGAACTACGACGTTGCTCAATTTCGCTGCAGACGGCTTGTCCCAGGCAGAAGGCCCAGGTGAGTGGAACTCAGAAAGACGGCGCCGAGACCGAACGGCTTGTCTGAGGGAAAAGGCCCAGGTCAGTGGAACTCAGGAAGACGGCGACGACGAGTCGAACGGGAAAGCCCGACTCGAACGGAAGAGCCCCTCACACACGCCGACAGGGTCGGCGGATTTCTGACTATGTTTTAAACTTCTGTTTTGGCAATGTCTTATTTTCCGTCCAAAACCCGCCTGTCAGGGGACACGCCCGACCTAACAAGGCATGGAGGATGACGTGGATCCGTCAGTGGATCAGTCCTACGTACTGACGTCGAGGCTATGATGCTCCTTGTTGGCAGTGGGCCACCCCGCCCCGTCTCCGGGGGCGTCGCGTCCCCCTGAGGTGGTGGGATGGGGAGACGGTCCGCCGCCCCCTTGCGTTGCACGTGCTGCGCAGGGTTGGCGTTAGGTTGGGCATGTCCCCCTACGGGGGGATTTTGGGCGAAAAATGAAACATACCCCAAGAATGCCCCAAAGATGCCCCAACAGATGAAAAACATAAACCCCAGACTATGCTTTGACTATTTTTGAATATTCCCCCTGTAGAGGGACGGGCCCGACGTAAGGTTGGCGGGATTTGCATTGCCTTCTACGAGGAGGCCCCCCGCCCCTCCCCCTTAGGCATGCCTCCTCCTGGCCGCGGGTCCAAAAGGGCGGCGCACGCCCTGGATGGCCCAGCGGGGGCCCCAGGACAGCCCGAGGGGGTCTCCAAGGGCGCCCCTCGAGGGCGCGAAGTTATTCGCGCTTCGCGGTTCGGCTCCGATTCCTCCTCAGCCTCCTCTTCTCCCCTGGGAGGCGGCGCGAGGGCGCGAAGTTATTCGCGCTTCGCGGTTCGGCTCCGATTCCCTCCTCATCCTCCTCTCCTCCCTTGGGAGGCGGCGCGAGGGCGCGAAGTTATTCGCACTTCGCGCAGCGCGAAGCGCGAAGTTGGGAGCCCTTGGTCCCGAGGCGGCCCAAGAGGGCCCCAGCGCAGCCCGAGAGGGTCCCAGGAGGCTCCAAAGAGAGCCCCAAGAGGGCCCCAGGAGACCCCGGAAAGAGCCCCAGGACGGCCACAGCCCGGCAAGATGGCCCGGCACGGCCCCTGGACCTTTGGGGCTCCCCCGAGACAGCCCCAGACAGCCCCGAAACGCTACCCGAGGGTCACAGGAGGTCTCCAAACGTCCAAGTGAGCCCAGAATCCCCAAACCGTCGCTCAAGACGCCGAAGACGCCCAGGTGAGTGGAACTCAGAAAGACGGCGCCGAGACCGAACGGCTTGTCTGAGGGAAAAGGCCCAGGTCAGTGGAACTCAGGAAGACGGCGACGACGAGTCGAACGGGAAAGCCCGACTCGAACGGAAGAGCCCCTCACACACGCCGACAGGGTCGGCGGATTTCTGACTATGTTTTAAACTTCTGTTTTGGCAATGTCTTATTTTCCGTCCAAAACCCGCCTGTCAGGGGACACGCCCGACCTAACAAGGCATGGAGGATGACGTGGATCCGTCAGTGGATCAGTCCTACGTACTGACGTCGAGGCTATGATGCTCCTTGTTGGCAGTGGGCCACCCCGCCCCGTCTCCGGGGGCGTCGCGTCCCCCTGAGGTGGTGGGATGGGGAGACGGTCCGCCGCCCCCTTGCGTTGCACGTGCTGCGCAGGGTTGGCGTTAGGTTGGGCATGTCCCCCTACGGGGGGATTTTGGGCGAAAAATGAAACATACCCCAAGAATGCCCCAAAGATGCCCCAACAGATGAAAAACATAAACCCCAGACTATGCTTTGACTATTTTTGAATATTCCCCCTGTAGAGGGACGGGCCCGACGTAAGGTTGGCGGGATTTGCATTGCCTTCTACGAGGAGGCCCCCCGCCCCTCCCCCTTAGGCATGCCTCCTCCTGGCCGCGGGTCCAAAAGGGCGGCGCACGCCCTGGATGGCCCAGCGGGGGCCCCAGGACAGCCCGAGGGGGTCTCCAAGGGCGCCCCTCGAGGGCGCGAAGTTATTCGCGCTTCGCGGTTCGGCTCCGATTCCTCCTCAGCCTCCTCTTCTCCCCTGGGAGGCGGCGCGAGGGCGCGAAGTTATTCGCGCTTCGCGGTTCGGCTCCGATTCCCTCCTCATCCTCCTCTCCTCCCTTGGGAGGCGGCGCGAGGGCGCGAAGTTATTCGCACTTCGCGCAGCGCGAAGCGCGAAGTTGGGAGCCCTTGGTCCCGAGGCGGCCCAAGAGGGCCCCAGCACAGCCCGAGAGGGTCCCAGGAGGCTCCAAAGAGAGCCCCAAGAGGGCCCCAGGAGACCCCGGAAAGAGCCCCAGGACGGCCACAGCCCGGCAAGATGGCCCGGCACGGCCCCTGGACCTTTGGGGCTCCCCCGAGACAGCCCCAGACAGCCCCGAAACGCTACCCGAGGGTCACAGGAGGTCTCCAAACGTCCAAGTGAGCCCAGAATCCCCAAACCGTCGCTCAAGACGCCGAAGACGGCTCCCAGACGGCCTCCAGGAGCCCCCACGACGGCCCAAGAGTCCCCCAAGAGGACTCCCAAGAGCGCCTTCAGAAGCAAAAATGGCGCCATTCCCTGTTGGAGAACATATATTTTTCAGATATTCACCGCTTCGGCGTCGACCTCGTCGAAGTCGGCGCCAGCAGCTGACCAGATCGCCTCAAGACGGCCAAAGAGAGTTCCAAGAGGCCTCCAAGACCGCTCAAGAGGGGCCGTCGACTGTCCAGGGGGCCCCGAAGAGGGTCCCAGAGGGCCCCGGGACAAAAAAGCACCCCTGAGACCCCAAGAAACCTCCAAGAGCCTCCGACAAAAAAAAAGCCAAGCTGGCCCCACGGGGCCGCCAGGAATTCCCAAGAGGCTCTCAAGAGCCCTCTCCCCAGACTCCCTGAGGTACTCTGGCCGATCCCGAAGCTTCTGGACAACTCTCGGCATCCTGACACCCCCAACGGGCCCCAGGACCGTCAAACATGTATGACGAAACTCCGGGCCTATGGAAGTTGTCCGGACCTCGGGGCCACTTCAGGGGTCGTCGACGTCGTCGTCGTCGTGGTGGTGGCGGTCGTGGTCGTCGTGATCGTCGTCGTCATCGTCGTCGTCGCCTTCGTCGACACTCGTTGCCGCCCCTGTCGTCGTCGTCGATGATCACACGAGCGAAAACGAGAGCAGCCAAACGTGGCGCAGCCGTGACTAGAACCTAAGCGAAGCGCGCGCGTGGTTCTAGTTGTTGTTACATATATACATACACGTGTGTATACATATATATATATATATATAAATATGTATATAGATGTACACACAAGTTCCTCCCCTGCTCCCCTTGTTGCTTCTCCTTCGTCTCCATCCCTCGTCGGCTCATCGCGGCTGGTATGAGATCTTTCCATAGACGTCACGTCAAGTTTCTTGATCTTTGTTTCAACGCCTGGGCCCCAGACGTCCTAACCCTTTCCCAAGGGCTGGCTTTTCATCACGAGCAGTTGTTTGGCGACCTCAGCGCCCGCGAACAGCATTGAGAGGCCGAAGATAGTGAAAACCACAGTTGTTTCAATGACGTTGTATCGGGTGTTGCTGGAAGTGCCCCTGGCCCAAGGTGCCCTCAGGATTTCCACGGAGGCCCCCATGGCCTCCAGAGCACCCCAGCGACTGCAAAATGGAGCGACAAACTGGGGGCACCTTGGGCCAGGAGTGCCTTTAGCAACCCCCGATGGTATGTCCTGGCCTCTCGCTCTCTCGGTCGGATGCGTGCGCTCCGGGCGAGCGGTGGCCCAGAAGCAGCCACAGCTGGCGCGCCCCTCCGTTGCCCAGGTGCCCTCGAGCCGCATCACGGCTTCCGAGGCGATCGCGCACGAGTGCCCCCCCGCGCGGGGGAGGGTGAGGAAGGGGAGGAGGAGGAGGAGGAGGAGGAGGAGGAGGAGGAGGAGGAGGAGGAGGAGGAGGAGGACCAATGTAAACCCAAGAGGCACCAACGATGTTGGAATGTACCCTCTCCCTGAGCTCCCTCTACGTAGGCCCCTACAACGGTTCATCTCCATTGGGGGACATGCCTCGTTGGAAGACAACCGTTTTCAGACCTTGAAGCATGCCAAATCATTGTTCTCAGGATTCCAACGTCACGGATCAAGCTGATTGTTGCGTCTTGACGATCCTGAGTCGTGCCAGAAAGTCATTCCTGGGATTTCAACACCGCGAATCATTGTAATTCTTGCACCCCCATAGTCGTGAACCATTCCAAAACACCACTTCTGGTACGCCGATCATGGGAATACTTGGAAACCCTGCAATTTCTCAAACAGAATGTGCGCGGCGCTTCGGCGAGAGCCACATTTTGAAAACCACCCGCCCTCAATATGTAAAACTATGGCAATGTCTTAAATCGAATGTGCGCGGCGCTAAATCGAGAACCACATATCGACGACCACCCGCCCTCAATCCGTAAAACTTTCGCAATTTCTTATAACAAGTGCGCAGGGCGCTAAAGCGAGAGCCACATTTTGAAGAACCCGCCCTCAATCCGTGAAATTCGCTGCAAATGTTTAAAACGGCTGTGCGCGACGCTAGGGCGAAAACAACATTTTGAAAACGTTTCCAAAAAAACACGATTGTTCGCGGCGCTAGAAGCGAGAGCCACGTTTTGAAAAGCACCCGCCCTCCATCTGTGAAACGGTTGTTCATGTTTAAGCTTCAGGGTCATAACTGCTGAGGAAGGCTCAGGCGAAACGCCTGGCCCGCCCTAACAACTGGCTTCGGGGTGCGACAGGGAGATGTCTTTTCTTTGGAGAAGGAATGGAGGAGGACGGGGGGGAGGAGGGGAAGGAGGAAGGGGGTGGCGCGAGATTTGTTTTCATGCGTTTTCGGCGTCTCGTGGAGGTTTCCCAGCCTCGGGATGATCTCTTGCAGCTGCGCCTCGCCGAAGGCGTTCCAGGAGTGCCAGAATCGACCCGAGCGGCCGCCTGAGACCTGGTTTCTGTCCCGACAGTTTTTGTGTCGAATTATTGGGTCTCCTCGGGTCTTGAGAAAACCAAGATGTAAGGTGTTTGCATATCTTCGGCATCTGGAGCCCCAGCATACCTTCGGCATCTGGTTTAAACCCGCGGCGTCCTGCCAGAGGAATGAATGTCCAGACCGCTCGTCGAAGAACAGCTGGCACCCGCAGCGCTCGAGGAGGGGTGTTATCCTCTCCTCTGCCTCCTCCATCCTCTTCTCGTCCGTCGCCGTGTTTTTTTTTCCGCATCGGGTTGCCGATCCTCGACTCCGAGATGACAGGTTTGCTCTCGGCTGTGGATGCCCAGGACGCTCGTGCTGAGAGTGCAGCCGTCTCCCTCCTTTGTCCTGCTCTCCTCCGCCTTCTCGCCACTTCTCCGCCCCCCTCCTCGTGTCCAGGGTGTGTGGGCGCCCGGGCGTTCCAATTAGCGCCGTCGCGCCGCTTGCACGGCCAGGGCATGCTGGCAGACCTCTGGCTGCCTGGCGCACGGAGCCACACCTCTCTCAGGAGCCGCTTTGAGCACGCATTTCCGCGTCTGTTGGTAGGGCCCTCTTGGCCGATCCTTAGCTTCTCACTGGTGTGCAAAAGCTGTCCAGTCGACCGCCACGTTTCATTGTAGGGCACCTGGGGCGGGTTGCTTGCTTGAGACGGCGTGCGCATGACAGTATTATTGTTTCCTTGCCCTTTCCTCTTCTTCTCCGTTGTAGGTTTATCAACGTGGCCACCTGGGTCGCAAGGGGTACATAGACCTGCACTGTTTCATGTTGTCCCAGCTTGTTAGTGCATGCAGCGGCTCACCTATTCCAGGTTGGCTATAGCAGGCTTTTTGGTTTGGATGTGTGTCTGCCGCCTCCTCGGCCTCCTCCTTCGTCGTCGTCGTCGTCCTCCTCCTCCTCCTCCTCCTCCTCCTCCTCCTCCTCCTCCTCCTCCAGCGGATGTGGACGCAATCTGTTTTAACAGTTTTCACGCCGTTTTGGGCGCAAACTGCTTTAACAGTTTTAACGCCGGCTGCGCGGCAACTGCTGGCCAGGTGTTGGTTACGTTCGTGCAGCTCTCCTCCCTCCCTCCCTCCCTGCCTCCTTCCCCCTCCTGCGTTGGATTTATAGTTTTGGCCATTTGGACCATAGGGGTTATATAAACCAACATTTACTACGAGTACTGGTGCGCGTGACGACCGATTGTGGCAACCACGCTGCCAAGCTGCCGATTTCGAGCCGGAGTGGACTGGAGAAAATAAAAAGCCCGACTCTGGGAAACGATGCAGACCTCTGGGGAGCCACGTTTCGAAAAAAATAGCTTGGCGAAGGACCCAACCACATACATGCAGTTGTGAGCAACGCAGTTGTGATTATCTTCTTCGGTGGAGTTCCCTATGAGGCCACGAAGCCACTAGGGCCGCCAGTGGAGCTCCTTGCAGGGCCACGAAACGTGTAAGAGGTATGCCGAAACTGGTGGGGCGGACGCATCCGAACCCCGTCGCTAGGATCTTCGGTGGAGCTCCCTATGGGGCCGCGAACTGTGAGTATGTACCGAAACTGGCGGGGCGGACACACGCAAACACCGCCACTGGGGCCTTCGGTGGCGCTCCCTACGGGGACACGAAACGTGTGAGGGGTTTGCCGACATGGGTGCGGCGAACACCGCCGATGGGGCCTTCGGTGGCGCTTCCTCTGGAACCACGGAACGTGGAAACGAAAATAGGTGCGGTGGGCGCGTGCGAACACCGGCATCGGGGCCTTCGGTGGTATTTTTTACGAGGCCGCGAAACGTGTGAGGGGTGTGCCGACATGAGCTCGGTGGGTGCACACGAACGCAGCCATCGGGACCTTCAGTGGAGCTGCTTATAGGGCCACGAAGCGTGTGAGGCGTGTGCCAGCATGTTTGCGGTGGGCGCGTGCGAGCGCAGCCATTAGGGCTTTCGGTGGATCTCTTTGTGGGGCCACGAAGCGTGTAAGGGGTGTGCTGACATGAGCTCTGTGGGAGCATGCGAACGCAGCCATTGAGGCCTTCGGTGGAGCTGCTTATAGGGCCACGAATCGTGTGAGGGGTGTGCCGACATGGGCGCGGTGGGCGCATGCGAACGCAGCCTCTGGAGTTTTCGGCAGAGCTCCCTGTGGGGCCACGAAACGTGTAAGGGGTGTGCCGACATGGGCGCGATGGGCGCATGCGAACGCAGCCAGTTGGGTTTTCGGTGGAGTTCCCTGTGGGGCCATGAAACGTGTGATCGCTGTGCCGGCACGTGTGCGGCGAAAGCATGCGAACGCAGCCTCTAGAGCCTTCGGTGGCGCTCCTCATGGGGCCATGAATTGTGTGAGGGGTGTGCCGACATGGGCGCGGTGGGCGCAGGCGAACGCAGCCCTTCGGGTCTTCGGTGGAGCTCCCCATGAAAAGGGTGTTCCGACATGGGTGCGGTGGGCGCATGCAAACGCAGACCTTTGGGCCCTCGGTGGAGCTGCCTATGCGGCCGCGTAACGTGTGAGGGGTGTGCCGACATGGGCGCGGTGGGCGCATGTGAACGCAGCCACTGGGGTTTTCGGTGGAGCTCCCTGTGGGGCCACGAAACGTGTTAGGGAAATACCGAAGTTGGTTTGGTGGGCGCATACGAAGGCAGCCATTGGGACCTTCGGTGGATCTCCCTGTGAGGCCACGAAACGTGTGAGGCGTGTGCCGACATCGGCGTGGTGGGCCGATGCGAACGCAGCCGTTGAGGTTTTCGGAGGAGCTCCCTCTGGGGCCACGAATCGTGTGAGGCGTTTGACGAAATGGGTGCGGTGGGCGCATGCGAACGCAGCCGCTAGGGTCTTCGGCGGAGCTCCCTACGGGGCCATGAAGCGTGTGAGGGGTTGTGTTGGCAAGGGTGCGGTGGGCGCATGTGAACGCAGCCAGTGGGGTTTTCGGTGGAGCTCCCCATGGGGCCACGAAGCGTGTGAGGCGTATGCCGAAATCGGCGCGGCGGGCGCATGCGAACGCAGCCACTGGGGCCTTCGGCGGAGCTTCCTATTGGGCCACGAAGCGTGTGAGGGGCGTGCCGACGAAAGGGTTGGCTGGTGCGGAGTGCATAGGCAGGGATGAGAGGAGGGAGGAGAAAGAGGAGGAGAGGAAGAGACGCGGGGCGCTGTCTCTTCAAAACGGATCCATACCCACAGGAGGTTTGGAAACACACGACGTAGGGTTTCGGGAAGAAGAAGGGATTGCTCAAGAACCATTACTATTTCTGCGACTTCTTGGGCGCATTCGCCGCCACGGCTGCAGCGGCTTCGAAGTTGTCTTCAGAGCGGATCCCCTGGTTAGGTCCAGACGTCGGTTTTTGAGCGAAGGGGAAAGGAGGAAGAGGATGAGGAGGAAGGACCAGTGGAAACCTAAGATCAGTGGTGTCGGAGCAGACCCTCCCTCCACGCTCCTTCATAGGCCCCTACAGGGATACATGTTCGCTGAGGGGTGTGCCCCGTTGAGAGACAACCGTTTGAAGATCCTGAAGCGTGCCAAAACACCACTCTCAGTATTTAACAACTGACTGTTGCATATTGACGATCCTGAATCGTGCCAGAACACCATTCCTGGGACTTCAACACCGCAAATCAACGGAACTGCTGCGCCGTGTCAATCCTGAATGGTTCCTAAACGCCATTTCTGGTACGTTAGCCATGAGATCCCGCGGAACTGTTTCGGTTGTTGGAAACGAGTGCGTGCAGTGTTGGGTCGAAAGCCACATTGTGAAAAGGAACCACCCTCAGTCCGTAATAATCTTGCATGTTTACAAGATGGATGTGCGCGGCGCTATTGCGAGCGCCACATATTGAAAACGACCCGCCCTCAATACGTTGAACTTGTTTTTTGTAACGAGTGCACGCGGCGCTAATGTTATAGCGTCATGTTGAAAACGGCCCGCACTCAATATGTGAAACTCTTACAGTTGTAGTAATCGTATGTGCGCGGCGCTATGGCGAGAGCCATATGTTGCAAACCATTCGCCTTCAATCCGTGAGATTATTGCAAATATTTAGAACGAACGTGCGCGGCGCCAAGGCGAGAACCACATTTTGGAAGCGGCCCGCCCTCCATTGGTGAAACTGCTGCCAGTTTTCAAGCGTCACCATCATAAATGGCAGGGACGTCTCAGGCGAAATACCCAGCCCGCCCTTCCGATTGGTATCGGGATGCGACAGGGAGAGGTTGTTGACAGGGGAAAAAATTAGAGGGAGGAAGGCGAGAGAAAAGAGAGGGGGGAGGGAAGAGGGAGGGAGGAGGGAGGAAGAGGAGGAGGAGGGAAAAGGGAGGGAGGAGGGAGGATGGAGGAGGGAGGCAAGAGGGAGGAGGGAGGAGGGACGCAGTGCGGGTTGTTTGGCAAGACAGTCGACGCCAATGCATTCGGTTCCGAGTTGACTCACAATGCATTAAGAAAAGCAGGTTAGCCATGCATCCGCTGGACCTGCTTCCGGACGGGCACGGCGACGACGCGCCCATCGTGCAGTGGGGCGGGGTGGCCGGACGCATCCTCTTCATCACGGATTGCAAGCCTTTGGTTGGCTTGGTCAATGGAACCACCGCGTTGGCAGCACCTTCCCTCGGACCCGTCTTCGCTCGTACTACTCAGAGCTTGTTCAACATAATGGAGTATGGATGGAGACCGGCGCAAGATGCAGGTGGCATGGTCTTGTGGCACAGACGCGATTGGAGTAGCAGGCAGCGCGGACCATTTGGTCAACCACACAATGGATGAAAGAAGGTCTTGGTATCAAATATTCCCGACAGATTCTCTAGATATGGACCAAACGAGCCTTCTGATTCGCAGCGACGGCGGCACACGGTCGTGCTCTGCAGCTGCCTGGTGCGTGGAGGCTGTGACGCGCCGCGGGCCGATGGAATGCATTCGCCTGCTTATCATAGCTGGCACGTTTATCAGCGATCCAGTTTCTTCCTTTACAGCGGAGGCGCTCGCCTTAGAGGAGGCGGCGCGGGCTGTGGAGGAACTCGCCCTTAAGATCAGAAGCACGTGTCTCTAGAAGCGCGCTCCAGTGACCTGATTTAGGCCCAGCGAAAGAAGAAAGAAGAGGGGGAGGGAGGAGCGAGGGAGTGACCTGGAGCAGGAGGGGGGAGGATGAGTCGCCATCAAAGGACGGGGTGCTGAGGAAAACAGGTCATAGTCCCCAGAGCTTTCCCGTGTTCCAGTTCAGGATCAAAAGAGGGTCTGGTCAGCGTTCGGGTCGTTCGAGTGATGCCTGGAGGCCCAAGTACTGACCTGACTCACTGTGGCCCTGGAGGCGGCACTTCCACGGCCGATGTGTCGGGAGAGTGTTCGGGTGGCCCTGGTGGTGCTCTCAAGCAACTCCTTGCGAGCCCAGCGCTGCCCTGACTGCCGTCCCGTTCCTCGGCCAGCGGTGCGTGCCGGGCCGTTCTTGGACTTTCTTGCGGGGCCCGCGGAGCACCATTGAACGCAACATCTCCAGGGCCCTTTGGCTCCAGGGCGCCTCCTTCACGCCACGCGCCCCCTTACATGCTGCAGTCACGCAGGATGGTAAGGATGCTAGGATGCCGAATGCGAGCCCTACCCCTACCCCCCACGATTTGTGAGGGAGGGGGGGTTCACTTCGTTCGGGAGCTCAGCTCCCGAACGAAGTGAACCCCACCCTCCCCATCAGAAATCGTGGGGGGTGGGGGTAGGGTTTGCATTTGGCCCCCTAGACGAGCGGCTCACGAGCGAGGTCAGGGGCGCAGCCCCAGCCGCCCATTGATCGCGTTCGGTTTCGCTGCCGGGGGCCGCTCGCCGCTCCACCGACGATGCATCGCCGATTCTCGGGGAACTGAGAATGACATACTCTGTAAGAACGGTTTTTTGAAGGCAGATCTGCCTTCAAAAAATCGGTCTTCTTTTTTGAAGGCAGATCTGCCTTCAAAAAACCGTTCTTGCAGAGTAAACATAACAACTCGGAGGTCCGCGCGGATTTCTCGGAACCGCGCTGGACCCCTTGGCGGCGCCTCCGGCGCCGCCCTTGGCGCGCTCCGCGCGCCAGGGAGGGGGGTCTAGCGCCGATCCGAGAGATCCGCGCGGACTTCCGAGTTTTAGTGTTTATGTCGTTCTTCGTTCCCCTGAATACAGGCTCGATTGTTTCCCCCCCTCCCTGAGCCAGTCCCCCCGGTCGCTGCCCCCACGAAATCTCCCAGGGTTGCCTTTGCCTCCTTGTCTCTTCGGCCCATCCTTAGCGCCGTGTGTCATTTTCAAGTTGGGCGTCCAAGGTCCGTGCACCCCTAACGCAGCACGCCCTCCTCATCAGGCTTCTTACCTCATGTACCCATTGTCTCCATACGAGACATGTATGTGTCTCGTTCGAATGTCCCGTTTCTGGCAAAGCATGCACGCTCTTGCCGCTGGCAGGTTCAGTCCCTCACGTGAGCACGTAGCGTCCTGCCGCTGGACCCCCCGTGCTTTACATGGTGCCGGCAGTAAGCCGACTGTGCGCTAAACAAATATGTGCATTGATTGCATTCCCGTTCGCCGCTACCCGACTGTTTGTGAGCTACCGTCATCTGCTTTACTTTACGAAGTCCCCAGGACGCCGACGCCGAACAGGGCAGACAACGCCCAGGCACCTCGAACCTTGATCGTCCAACCTAGGCAGGTCCTCCTCCTCGAATGGGAGGGAGGAGGAGGAAGCCCGTGGAAAAGTTGAGGTCTTGTTCGACGCCCCCTTCCCTTGCCAGGTACCTGGCGCACCTCCACGACCCTGCCGGTGAGACAGTTGCGTCGAAGGTGTTCGACTGGAATTTCGACTGCTTTGAGCCCACTAAGCGGGCGCTCAAGGAACCCGTTCTGTGAAGGGGAGGAGGAGGAGAAGGAGCAGGAGGAGGAGCAGGAGCAGGAGCAGGAGCAGGAGCAGGAGGAGCAGGAGGAGCAGGAGGAGCAGGAGGAGCAGGAGGAGCAGGTGGAGGAGGAGGAGGAGGAGGAGGAGGAGGAGGAGGAATGACCGCGGAACGTCCCAGAGCTCTAGTCAGAGCCCGACTCTGATCCCGCTCCTTGGGGCCGGGGTTCCACCTCGGCGTCTTCACGCCTCGGCGCCTCCACGACCCTCTCGAGCTGGGAATCCGCCGCCCCAGGTGGGGGGGGGGCATGAATCAGGAGGTCACCACCTACCAAACCACCCCAACCCAACCCGAAGGCCTCAATTTGCCCTCCATTTCCAGTGGGGGGGGGTCCTGGAACGTTGAAAAAACACATGGAACCCGTACCCCCCCCCTCAACCCGAAATTCGGGTCAAATTCGGGTCTTCGGGTTGGGTTTGGGTGGTCTGGTAGGTAGTCAGGAGGGCCCGCAGGGACAGCACCCACCGCGGAGGACGAAGAAGCAGTCAGGACCGCCTCGGGAGGCCCCTTGGGGCCACGGGCGGCGGCCCTTCGGAGTACGGATCGGATTCTGGGTGCCTTTCTTGGGCCTGAGTCCCGAACAGACTTGGGATAAGTGACGGCCGTCGGTCGAGGCCGTGAATCCACATTTCACACATAACAAAAAGTGATTGGGCATGCCAGCGCCAGATCTGGTGACTGGGGTCCAGGCGATCCTCCCCCATCCACAGCTCCCCAACCGTCCCACGCACCTCGGCCCCAGCCATGTTCGGAAACGAGAGAGGGGGGCAGAGGAAGAGGAGCATGCCTGGCGCAGGAGGGATCTGGAGGGGTTCCAGAGGGCGGTCAGGGAGGTTTTTTTCGAAACGCATCCCCTTCCAGGATCCAAACATCCTGTCCTGGAACAGTTGTTTTGAACGAGCCCATCCACCAGGATCTAGGAACCATTCCCGGAGACACTTGCTTGAACGAACCCCTCCTCCAGGGCCTGAATGAATCTTTCCTCGAGGGGTCAGGTTGCCACGAGGCTGGTGTCGGTGACCAGCTCGCCACAGTCGTTGCATCTCCACCCGCCTCCCGATCGAGCGAAGGAGCGGGCAGCGGCGGCGAGCGCCCGGGCCCCACGCGAAAGCCAGAGGCGGGGACAGGAGGGTGGCTCCTCCTCCTCCTCCTCCTCCTCCTCCTCCTCCTCCTCCTCCTCCTCCTCCTCCTCCTCCTCCTCCTCCCCTCCTCCTCCTCCTCCTCCTCCTCCTCCTCCTCCTCCTCCTCCTCCTCCTCCTCTCTCCTCCTCCTCCTCCTCCTCCCTCCTCTCTCCTCCTCCTCCTCCTCCTCCTCCCTCCTCCTCCTCCTCCTCCTCCTCCTCCTCTCCTCCTCCTCCTCCTCCTCCTCCTCCTCCTCCTCCTCCTCCTCCTCCTCCTGCTCCTCCTGCTCCTCCTTGCTCCTCCTTCTCTCCTCGCTCCTCGCTCCTCTCCTCCTCCTCCTCCTCCTCCTCCTCCGCCTCCTCTTCCTCCTCCTCCTCCTCCTCCTCCTCCTCCTCCTCCTCCTCCGCCTCCTCCTCCTTCGGCCTCCCAGGGATCCAGGACAGCAGCGGCCAGCAACGCGCGGGCCGCCCTTCTTCATGCAAGCCAAGCCTCGACGTCCCGCGCGTCCGTGGCGGGGACCAGACCTTGGGCGGTGGCGCGGTCCCAGTCACGCTGGGAAAATAGCGACGCGAGGTTGTCAGCAGCCGCGTTGCCTTGAGACCGAAACGACTGACTGATGGTTTGAGTGGCTCCTTCCTCACCCTCGAGATGGGAGGGGGACCAATCTATTGAAATTGCGCTATTCCTTTCGCTGGCGGCGGCGAGGATCCTGATCCGCAGATCTCGATTAGTTTCCTTGGGTGCTGGCCTACTAGCTCTGCCAGCCTGCCAGGCCTTGAAAAGGGGCAAGTGGTCAGTGAGGAAGGAGGAGCACGAGGAGGACGCTTGAACGCGAGGTTCGAGGGAGCTAGTGTTGTCTCGAGCCTCGAGGTTCAGGGCACGGAGTGACCGCAGTCTCGAGGTAGAGCACGGAGTGACCGCAGTCTCGAGGTAGGGCCTGCTGCTCAGCAGGTAGGAGTGGTTGTCTGAGACGGCCTTTCTTTCTAGGAGCCAGAGGGACCAGAGGAGGGAGTAGGCGGAGGAATCTGTGCGCTTGGGGTCAGTCTGGTCCCTGTGGTCGGAGGCAAGATGAGAAGGAAGAGGAGAATGAGGAGGAGGAGGAGGCGGAGGCAAGAGGGAAGTCTGAACGATGCTGCCGACCATCGGCGATGCGAATAAGAGGAGGAGGAGGAGGAGGACGACGAGGAGGAGGACGAGGACGACGAGGAGGAGGACGAGGACGAGGACGAGGAAGAGGACGACGGCGAGGACGAGGACGAAGACGAGGACGAGCACACGATAAGGGGGGTCGGTGGAAAGATGGGGCAGGGCCGCTGCCGCCGGGTGCCCTGGCGCTGCGGCTCCTCCTCCTCCATTGTTCCTCTCCTCCTCCCTCCTCCTACCGCTCCACATGTTTTTTCTCCTCCTCTTCCTCCCCCTCCTCCTCCTTCTCCTCCTCCTCCTCCTCCTCCTCCTCCTCCTCCCCCGTCGTCCTCCTCCTCCTGATGCCTCAAAGGACAGAGACCTCGCGATCAGAATCTTGAGATCCCAGACCGTAAAGGCCCCGCGTTTCGCCCTGATAAGCGTAGAAGGGTTGGCGGCCATCGCAGGGACAGGCCGACTTTGGCCGCCACCGTAGTGCCTGACCGTGCCATGCCTGAAACGGGGCCCGTTCCTGCGTCCGCGGCCAGGGGGCATCGTCTTTGGGTTTCTTCGGGGCACGTGTGCCTCTGTGTTTCTTTTTGTTACCACTGGCACGGCTGGACATTTGTTGGTAGGATGCCCGTCTACTGACCCTACATATAGACTTTCGGAACGTGCCTTTCGGAACCGACAGCAGTTTTTGGCGGGGTCTCACCCTGCGGACGAGGGCAGACAGGATTCTCGTAGGATCCCTGCTCCTCGTCCCCTTCATGTTGCCGAGCCAGACACGTTTTGGGCCAGGCTCGTAGCGAGCCGATCTTCTCAATATCGACTCGAGGACGGGGATTAGGTTCGCGAGAATGGAGCACCCTTGCTGGTGTGCTCCCCGCGGGCCTTCATTCTCCTTTGCTTCCGTGTCCTCTCTCTTTTTGGTGCCTGCGGGGCTCCGAGATCCTGTCTCTCGGGTGGGGGCCACCGTCTTTCTTGGCACATCGGGCGGCTGCTCGGGCTGCCCCTTCGCCTGTGCACGCCTGGCGCCCGTGGCTTGACCTCGGAGCGCGGCGTCCGCCAGCCAGCGTCGTATCCTCCTCCTCCTCCTCCTCCTCCTCCTCCTCCTCCTCCTCCTCCTCCTCCTCCTCGTCCTCCTCCTCCTCCTGCTCCTGCTGCTCCTCCCCCTCCTCCTCCCTCCTCCTCCTCCCCCGCCTCCCGCTCCTCCTCCTCCTCCTCCTCCTCCTCCTCCTCCTCCTCCTTTTCCTCCTCCTTCTCCTCCTCCCCTGCTACCCCCGCCCGAGGGCGAGGGCCGGTGCGCTGGTGCGGCACGCACGCGGCGCCTTGGGGAATTAAGGGCCGCGCTCCCTCGTCGTCACGTTGGGGACACCCTTGCGGTGGCCCGCCTGGTACGCCGCCAGGGCTCGGGCGGTGTCGCGGGTCCTCCTGTGTGGGAAGGGGTTCGTTGGCGGATCTCCACCCAATTTTCCCACGGTCACGGTCCCCCGCCGTGGCGCGCGTGGGGGTGAGCGGTCGCCCGAGGGAGTAGTACCCCTCGGGAGGCTTATCGGGGCGGCATGTCCATGGTGCCGCGTTTTTAAATGAGCGGCTCGAATATGGCCCGGACCTGACGGTAACGCCAGAAGTGCGTCGCGAGTGAGGGAGGAGGCTGTTCGCATGTGTTTTTTGTTGCCTGCCTGCAGCTCTCCCTGCTTCCATCTTCTGTTCCCCCTCGTCGACTGCGTCTGTGCTAATCGCGATGCTGATTAGGCGCGCGTCACTTACACGTGGCACCTCCCGCCGGGGGGCGGCAGGTTGCGACGCTGGCGCGCTTCTTGCGCAGACGCACGGTAGGGAGAGGGCAGGGCCGTGCGAAGACGCATTTTAAGCCCCCCTGTTTTTGTGATATTGCACGGCAGGTGTTCCTCAGGTAATATTCCCCATGTGTTCCTTGGTTTCGGTTTTGGCCGCATGCGCCCAAGCGGGGCGCGTTGGGTCAAGTGGGCAAATGACAGGCCTGGCTCCGCCCATCTAGGGCTCTGGAAGCGGGGCATGCGCCCTGCGCGCGCGCCCGCGCTGCGTGGGCTAAGTTTCGCAGCAGTTTTCAGGGCCCCCGCAGCGCCGCGCATGCCTTCTCGCCCCGTGGCGGCGGCGCAGTTGTGTCATATGGCTTCAAGCGGCAGCGACAGATCCAGTTCCTCGAGCCCCACGCAATGCCCCAGAAGGCGCAGAACCAGGCGCAGAGGCAGGGAGGCAAGCGGCCCCTGCAGCGATATATGAGATCGCGTTCCCTCGACGCCGTTGGCTGGCAGAGAGACTCGCAGTCGGGATGACAGAGAAAGGCGCGACGGCAGAGAGTCGCGCAATCGACGCGACGACCGCGGAAGCCGAGCTCGAGAGAGAGATCGCCACAAACGGCGCGCCGGTACCTCGGGAGGGCCTGCTAGTCGAAATCAGCAGCAGCACGCGCAACAGTTCTCGGGCGAAAAACAGCCGGCACATGAGCTCGAGGACTTCCCCTCCTTCCCCGCAGAAGTGCGGCCGCGAAGCCTTCCTCAGCAGCGAGATCCCCGGGGAACGTCGACATCGGCTACAAGGGTGGATGCCCCGTCGTTGGACAAGAGAGGCAAATTTAACCACTTCCGCAAGTGCCGCGTACACTAGTCTCAGAAGTCTCTCTTGAACAGCGCCCCGCCGACCTTCCAAGCGCAGATGGGGCTCGCCACCACTCGGCTACATGCAAGAGCTAGTTCTCTCGTTTAAAGAAGCTCAGACGACATTGCACGGGCAGCTCCAGGTGGCTATGGGAAGTCAGACAGCCTGGTTTCGCGCACCGATGGCCTCGACACCGCCGCCCAGGAGATCAACAAGCGCTCTATCGCGGCAGAGCAGGAACAACAACTTCTGCGCGCAGACGCGCAAGGTATTCAGGCGCCCTTGGCAATGGCTGAGGCTGCCCTAGGAGCCGTACCCCCGCTGGACATGGCCGCTCTTGCCGCCTGGGATGGGCCACCAGGCCCATGCCTGTGCACCGCCAGGGCTCCATCTGCAATTCAGCCTGCTGAGGTTTGGCGAGCACCGGGGCCCTGGACTGCAGCAGCTGGAGTTGGTCGGGGGCGCCCCAGCGCAACAATGCTTCCAACGAGTGCGGGGGGGACCAGCATCCTCTTCTCGGAGTGCACCACTTGCGAGGAACTTGCGCACAGGAGGTCAGTGGGGACAGTTCTCATCGAACAGTGCCGATGGCGCCATCGCTCCGCCGCGCGTCAACGCAGACAAGTCCCCCAAGCAACGTCGGCGAGAACTTCAAGCAAAACGATTGGTCCGACTGCTCACTGAGCGACGTGCCGACTGCTTGCCCCGCCAAGTTGGCAATGGCGGGATGGCGTTCTGCGGCTCTGTCCCCGCCGTCTCGGCGGAGGTCGGCGACGACGCCGCGGCCGCGGCGCAACCTCGCTGGGATGGGGCCGCAGCTCATCGATGGGGCGTCGATAAACGTATTCTCACCATTGAATTCCCAAAGTGATTCCGGGCAACAGCTGCAAGAACGCTGTCGATTTAGCGCGCGCTCGAGCCCATGGCCGAAGAGAGAACAACGCAAGGAAGCGCTCATATAATTGCGTAGGACGCCTGCGGTTTGCGCAGCCACGAAGCCCGCCGTCGTCGCGCTATGCTTCTGAAGCTCGAACGCCACATTTCGTAGGCTGCCCCGCTACCCGATGCTCGCACAGGCCAGCTGCGCGCAGCTTTCTGGCGTTATTTTTAAAACTTACCCAGGAGATCGGATCGGAGATGCCGACGCACTCTAGCCGGCAACGCTACGCGGATTCGGCGATTGTTCGCGCCTTCATCTGCATCCAAGAGCACGACTTGCTCGACTCTGACATCCCTCTCACCATCGGCGCGTACCCCGCGGGGATGTGGCAGGCCAGGCCCGGCGATCACTCGACCGCGCACCTCGCGCTGAAGAGCAAGGCGTTAGCAAGCGCCGATGATCAGAGCTTCAGAAGTGGCGCTCACCGACGCGAGGCGCAAAGCTATTCTGAATGGTCCTACTGCCGCAGCTGATCCCGCGCTTCGCTCCTGCGCCATAATGGCAACGCATGCAAAAAATGCTTGATGCTGCCGAGCAGACGAGAGATGAGCTTACTCGGCTACCCTACCGCGAAGGAGACAGGCGGGCGTTCGGCGGGCGCAACTACGCGCCGCCCAAGCTGCACAAGCGGCCCAACGCGCGGGCGACCACAAAGCTGTTGCAGGACACTTCAAATATATCAAGGCTATTCGCCGAAGCGCCATGATGAGGAGACCGAGGGGCCGCCGTCTTATCCCACCGGGGATCCGACCTGAGCGCCCCCTCGAGGACGCCCCAGAGGTCATCGACAGGGACCCCATGAGGATCCAAGAGGCCCCCCGCACGTCCTGGCCCAAGACCTTTCGGGCGCAGCCAGCGGACGCACAGGAGATGCAGAGGCGCCTCGACAGGCGTTGCGCGTCCCAGAGCATGGCTGATCTCGTGGTTCCTAGCGTTGAAGATCTACGACGGACCCTCGAGCGTGCACGTCGCAGTGCCCTTGGCCCTGAAGGGCGCTCAGCTCGCTATCCAAGGGTTGCTGCGGCGCCTCATGGCTGGCCCCTGCACCCCAGAGCCCCTCGATGACACGATCCTCGCGCTCCTGCCAAAGGGGGGCGAGGTTCCCGGCGCGCATGAGCACAGTGGGAGCCCGTCGCAGATTAGGCTTCCCCCTTTTGCGGAACGCTGACGCAAGAACCCCAGACGTAGGCAACGCGCAGAGGAAGGGCCCCCCAGTGGAGGCCTCTTGGAGCATATTGGGTGCCTCTTGGCAGCCCCGGGTGCTCGTTGGAGCGTCTTGGGTGCGTCGGGGAGCCTCTCCGCGTTCCTCGTCCCTGGGGCCTCTTAGAGGCCTCTTGGGCGCCTCTTGGGGCCCGCTGGGCGCTTCTCGGGGCCTTCACGAGGCGCCCCTGGGAGCTTCGGGGGCGCTCTTAAGGCCATCTTGGAGGAGATCGATCAAGAAGTATGGGAACTCCAGTTGCACCCCCCTTCGGGGCCCGCGCGAGCCTTCCTGGGGCCATCTCGAGGCCCAGGAAGGCCACCGGAAGCCAAAGCCGAAAAAAGCACAATTCATTCATGTGTCATGGGTGTTTGATGGATTCTGGATTCTCGGCGGCCTCCCGGGCAGGGTCCGCGGACACTCGGGGCCGTCTTGGAGCAGTCTTGGGGCCTCTGGGAGCATCGTGGGAGCCGTGGGCCATGGGGCCATGCTGGTCTATATTGGTCCAGCTTGGAGGTCATCTGGGCTTTTCTGAGGACCTCCTAGCGCCATCTTCCTTCTTGGGCCACGTTGGACACCCCAACGACTCGCGACCCCCCCCCCCCCAGGCCCAGAAGAGGCGCGCGCGCGCGCGGGGGGGAGGGTACCCAGAGGGCCTGTGGAATTGCGGCATCCGCTGCGAATCACCGGCGAAGATGTTTGCCGAAGGAATGGGCGCACGCAGTCCAGCAGGGCTTTGTGCCAGGCAGGACCTTGCGGGGCGATAGTTTGGTGTTTGACACCGTAGCGCACCGTGCCCGCATCCGCGAATGCGCAGCAGAAGCGCCCCAGTTGCCGCCGGTTCTGATATAGCCGCTGCGCCCCAGACCCTCGGGCGCGATTGGACGCGGTCAGTCCTCTAGCGCTTTGGCATCCCAACAGGCTACATCCATCTAGTTGCAACCGTGTTTCTCGGCGCACGGGGCAGCTTCCACGACCCAGGGATCCCGACAGTTTGTTTTGTTTTCTCTCAATCAGGAGTAACGCAGCGGTGTCCATGATCAGGCTCGACGCTGGCTATGGCAATGGACCCGATCTTGTCGGGGGAGGCCCCATGGTCGCCCCTCGGTGAGCGTCGGGGGGCGGTCGGAGGGTGCGCTGGCGATGCAGGGCGGGTGCTGCCTTGCCTACAGCATAAGACTAGGGCCTAACGAGTTCTCGAGCACGGTGAGACTCTTGCGCGGATATAGTTGTGAATGCTATTATATGTTTAATAATAAAAAAGCGTCGGTGCCTGTGTGGGCAGAGCCCACCCCCTGGTTTCAGACAGAATGCGTCTTTTCTACAGGTGTACATGTCCCACTGGGCGGATGTACAGAATGCATCACGTGCCAAATATCTTGGTGTTCCGTTTGGTCCAGACGCGACAGAACAGCTCATTTGGGCCGAAGCGGCCAGCCAATGGTGGACTCGCCCTTTCGAAATCCCTCGCGCTGAATGTCCCACCAGCGTTAGCGCCCTGCCGTGCAATGGCGCTGTTCTATCCACGTTCAGTTATCTAGCTCAGCTCTATCAAATTGCTCGTCCTGTGCTTCACAAGAAACATTCGCCGTGCGCACAATGCTACGGCTACTGCCGAGTACATTCCGCAAGGACAATCTGGTCGCATTCAAGACAATCGTGTTGCCCCCGCTTCCGCCCTCATCCTGAGTGCGTCGAGCTTGTGGCGATGTGCCTACCGTGCTCTCGGGGAATGGCAGCAGCAACTCCATGAGTGGTCCGGAACGGCGGTGGTATCGCAATCCTTCGTAGAGTTGCTGCAAGGCACACGGGGTGCGCCTTGCTGGAGGATCGGCCATTGGGGCGAGGGGCAGCACATGGCTCGCCATGAGCAGCATCGCCCTCGCCCATGCGCGGAAGCCCAAGGTACAACGGATCCGCTTCTCCTCGCGTCGAGCTTCCCTCTACCCGTTTTCATTCGAAAATTACTACCACCAGGCGTCCCCGAGCATGGGGCTTGCTGGACACACCCAGCGTCGCGGTTGCGGAGCGTTGAGGTGATTGCTCGGCCACGCTCGGACTGCAGAAACCTGCCTGGCACTGGACGTCTCTAAAGACATTCGCGGGGGGCTGGGCGACCTCCCATCGCATGCATATGTGTGGGGTGGTCAATTGTCGCTGTGGGTGTAGTGGCGCCACACACTCCATGTCCCACTACTTATCCTGCCCCGTTCTCCGTGAGCTTCTCTCCTTGCTTTCCTCCCCCCACTTAAGGCTCGGCCTAGGAGCCGACAACGAATACAACAGCGCATGCTGCGCATTCTGTCGCCGTGCCGCGATTCGCCGCGGTGTGCTCTTATTCCGTACGCATCATAAGCTGAAGGCATCGCTCGGTCATGCAGCGACGGCTAATACTTAGCAACAACGCGCCGCGGTAACCGCTGCAGTGCACGCCGGTGTCCTTTAAGCCAGCCTGGCGGGACCGCGCCATCAGGTACGGTCGATGCTCCTCCTCTCCTGATCGTGCTCCTGCTCCTCCTCCTCCTCCTCCCCCTCCTCCAACTCCTCCTCATCGTCCTCGTCCTCCTCTTCTTCCTCTTCCTCCTCCTCATCTTTTTGTTCCTACTCATCCCTCTTCCTCCTCCTCCTCCTCCTGCCCCCCGTCCTCTTACTCCTACCCTTCCTCCTCCGCCTCCTCCTCCTCGTCCTTTTCCTCCCTGTGCGCGCGCACCGAGGACAGGATGTACGCCGAGTGCGCCAGGCGCCACCCGGACATCATCGAGCGGGACGCGGTGCGCCCAGGGGCGGCGCGGTGGAGGAGGAGAGAACGCGGTCTGGGAGCCGCGCCTCCTTCGGGCCCCGAGATGGTCCGATGGAACACCCCCCCGGAGGCAGAGGCGGGCGGCCCCGCTGAGGCACACCACGGTCACCACCGCATGCCCAGGGCGAGGTGAGCACGCTGCAGGAGGAAACATGGAGCCACCGCCGCCCCCGGAGGGCCCGTGCATGCGACGCCGTAGCGCTTGTTTCGCAGCGT